AGGAGCACCACGGCTAAAACCCAGCTGCTCCTTGCAGCCGGCTTCCGCTGCCCTGTGGCTCCCACGGGAGCAGAGGCAGCCCCAGTGCATGGCCCACGTGAGAACTGCCGCTGGATCCTGGACAGCGGGGATGCCCAGCAGGAACAGCCCCGGACATGTGTCGCTGTCAACCACATTGCAGGTCTGAACCCATGGTGTGTCCAAACCCTCCAGCTTGAGCCCCAGCTCTGCTGCCTGGCTCCTGGTGGGGTGCACCCGTGCTGACGAGGCAGATTTTGTCCCCTATGGACATCTCAGTAGGTGACCCCACATCCCCTGTAAGGCTGTGGGGTGAAGTGTGGGGTGCTGGAGCCCAAGCCCAGCCCTGCACCCTCCATCCTCAGCCCCTTCTGCCCCCCTGTCTCTGTCCAGCCACTGAATTATCCCTCTGCTTGCTGCCACTGAAGCTGACCCTTGTCAGACCGCTGCTCTGCAGCAAACAAGGCAGATGCACAAACTCTGATCTAATTTAACGGAGGATGCAATTCATCAAGGGCTGGAAGGCAGCAGAAATTACACCATCTGCCTGCAGCCCACCCGGCAGCTGGTCCAGCAGAACCACAGACAAGGGAAAAAAAAAATCACCTAAACAGATTAGGACTGCTATCAGGAAAGCAAGGAGGCTTCCTCGTTAGCTGAGCAATATTTCCTCTGGCAGCGCTCCTGCCAGCCATCAGCTCAGGACCAGTGCCGGCCAGGCAAGCGGGAAGGAGCCGGCCGGCCGGGAGAGAGGAAAGGGAAGATGGACCTTAGCAACAACTGTCAAAGCAAAAGTCCCTCGCTTACATTTCAGGAAGTAATCGCGGCTCTCCAGGCAGGCGGGATTGTTTGACTTCTCTGGAAACCGGGACTCAGCTGGCGCTGCAGAGACAGGGACAGAAGGGTTTGCCATCAGCAAAGGAACCGATGCCACAAACAGAGGTGCCACCGAAGCATCGCCCCCCACCCGACACCCTGGTGGTACCCAGCTGCTGCGGCCCCCGAGCCCCTGCTGGTATCCCCAGCACATCCCTGCCGGCTCAGACACCGGAAAGGACAGATGCCACCTTTGCGGCAAGGGGCAAGGAACCAGCTGCAATTCCCACAGGCATCCCAGAAAATGAGAGAGGAGAGAGCTCAGGCTAAACGAGAGAGCGCAGGAGAAAGCTGCCGCAGCAGCTCTAACCCTGGCGGGTCTGGGAGACCGCAGCCTGCCCCATGAAGGGGACCGTCTGTGCTGGGATGAAAGAGTCCCCTTTCATGGGAGGCCACTTTGGCCCCTTGCCCCCTCCCTCAGGGCCCTGCCTAACTCCCAAGCTGTTTGTTGCTTCTCCAGTCTCCGGTCTCCGTGGAAAAATTCATAAAACCTCAAGGACGAGGCGTAACCCCAGCCAGGGATTGTGCAACGTGCAGCACAAGCGTGCCGGGCTGGTGGGAGAGGGGCCAGCGCTCACAGGAGCCACGGAGCCTCTGGGTACCTCCCACCTGCGCGGGGAGGATGGAGGGTGATGGGGTGGCCTCCGGGCAGAGGGGCTGGGGGAACACAAACCTTCCTCCACCTCCTGGAAACTCAGCCCATCCACTCCCTTCCCCTGCAGGCGGTCCCACTGGTTTTTGCAGGCGGCGGACAGCACATCCTTCACGGCGCCCACGGCTTGGGTGCATTTGGTGAAGTTCAGCTCGTTCGGGAAGCTTGGAGTCGGGGAGAGGGTTTCTTCCATGGCTACTTTTAAGGCTTGAAATTCCTGAGCCAAAAAGTTTCAAGAAGTTTCAAACAAGCCGAAGCTGTGTCTTGTTCCGCAACCCCACCCTGCCCCGGAGGATTTGGGAACTGGCAGCTCACAGGACTTGGCCCCAGGACAGCTGGGGGTTAGGGAGGAGCGCGCTGTCCCGGCCGTGCGCTCCTGGCGCCTTCTCTTCGCTCCCTTTTTTCAAGCCTGGACCCAGCCTGTGCTCATCTCATGTGGGGCAGCATCCCCTCCCAGAAAGGGCTCCTCTCGCTGGGCTGCCGGGGAGGAGGGATGCTGGATGGCAGCAGTGGGGCCACCCAACCGCTCGCTCTCTGCCCCCGCCCTGATGGAGGGGATGGAGGTGGGGGTAACAGCCGGGATGGAGGTGGGGGTGATGGAAGAGAAAGTCTTGGCCGCCCTGTCCCCCTGGGAGTGGGGAGGGGACGGTGCCAACAGAAGCGAGACTCTGCAGCCCTCACGTCCCAGGGCTCCTGGCACCCAGCTCCACACGAAACGGGACAAAACCCCAAATGACAACATCATCGGCTCCTTCTCCTCACCCCATCCCACCCAGGTACCTGAAGGAAGTAGATGGTGTCAGTGCTGGGGACGTTCTCCAGGTTTTGCTTGCACTGGGCCAGCTTGGCTCGCCTCTCCTCCTTCCAGCGGAGATCAGCCTCGGCCTCCCCCAGCATGGAGCGCTCCCCGTCCTCGATGAAACCCGCCACTTCCTTCTGGAAGGTCGCCAGGGCCTCGGAGGCTTCTGCAAAGAGCTTCTCGACTCTTTCCTTCTCCTTCGTGGCAGCGCCCTGAGCGCAGGGAGAGGGGTGGGGGTCACCTCCCGCAGGTGAGGGGCGGGAGAGCACCTTGTCCCCAGCCCAGCACCCTGTCCCCAGCTCCGTGGGGTCCCCCTGACACCCCAAGAGCTTGGAGCACTTCACAGCCCAGGTGTCCAGGGACCTGGCTGGGCACAGCCGCTTACTGCTCCACCATGTCCCACGTCCCCGGGCAGTGAAGTGACGTGTTTGCACAAGGACCAAAGGGGACCAAACCCCCCGTGAGCCTGGGGACAGAAGGTGCAAGAGCCAGCGGATGCCCTGGCACAGTCCTTGTCCTGTTCCTCCTTCCAGGTTGCAAACAAAAGCAACCAGAGATGCCATGAGAGTCAGCAGAGACGAGAAACAAGGACCCTCAGGGATCCCTGCCAGGGTCACCGGTGTTTTGCTCCCCTGTCACCACCACCTCTCCACCCTGCAGGCCCCAAAAGCTCGTGGCCCCTTCGCCCCCACTCCCCAGCCCAGCAGAGCTGCGCTAACGGAGCAAAGCCATCGCTGTCACCTTAATGAGTGCCACCATCTTCTTCGCCTGTGCAATGGTGACCGCCAGCTCCTCCAGCTCATTCTCCACATCGCTGAGGAATTTGGCTTGTTGGGCCTGCGGAGACGAGGGACAAATGCTGAGCTCTGCCTGCTCCGCTCCCGGAGGCAGGGGGGCACGGGGAGCCCAGCCTCTCCCCAAGTTCAACTCCAGCCCCCTCCCTGACTGTGACCTTGCCGTCAGGCTTCGGGTGAAGGGCGCATGGGGAATCACCAGTTGTTTTCCTGTTTTCCTCCCCTGCAACACCCAACCTGCAGGCATCCCTTCTTGCTCGGTTGGAAAACTAAAGGAGCAGCCGGGCTGCAAAGGGCCGTACCCCAGAAGCTGTGGATGCCCCATCCCTGGAGGGGTTCAAGGCCAGGCTGGATGAGGCTTTGGGCAACCTGGGCTAGTGGGAGGTGTCCCTGCCCATGGCAGGGGGTGGCACTGGATGGGCTTTAAGGTCCCTTCCAACCCAAACCAGTCTGTGATTCTGTGATTCTATGATCTCCATGCTCCCCACCCTGGTCCCAGCATAAACCAAACAAAAAAGGAATTTGAAAGCAAAACCAGGAGACAGCAATTGCAGCAAGCACGGCTAAGCCGCATGCTGTTAGCGCGCACCCCAAGGCTCAGAAAAATCTGCCTGGGGTTGGTGCAGAAACTGAAAGGCAGACCCAGAGCACTCGGAAATGCAGCGCTGAGTCTCCTGGGCATTCCTCGTTAGGAGCAAAGCAAACGAGCTCAGGAGCACGGGGCGCTGCGTGGCTGCAGAGGAAGCACCGTCCGAACGCAGAGTTTCCTGACGCACTATTGTTAGCGCCAGCATTGCCCGGCACGAGGACAGGTCCCTCGGGAGCCAGGAGGGCACTGCACTCCCCAACTGGGGCACCATCCCCCCCAGATGCTCAGCCCCCTGCGACACTCATGCCTGGCGAGGGGGGACAGGCGCTTTCCCTGTACCCCCTCCCCACCCCGCAGCACTGGGGCGGTGGCAGAGGCCACGCAGGCGATGTTAAACAGCTCCGCAGGGCTGGGATCACACGCGCTTTTTATTTTAAGGCACCCGATGACTAAT